CACAAGCGTGGCCCGGCCTCTCAGGCCAGCCCACGGCCTCAGCCTTCCCACAGAGCTAAGCCCAAGTCGTGGTGCAGAGACCAGGGCCGCCCTGCTGCTGGCTGACTCCCGCCGTTCCGGGTCAGCTCCCGGCACTTCCACTTAGACCCCCAGGGCTGGCAGACACCTCTGAGGCAGAGTCCAGCCCCCCACCCAAAGCAGGGCCAGCCCCCAGGGCTTGGTCAAGCCGGGACTTAAACACTTCCAGGGATGGAGACTCCACCCCCTCCCCAGGGAACCCAGCCCAGCGCTTCCCCACCACTCTTCTGTGATATTAATGGAGGAGGTGTGGGGTCCGAGGTGGAGGTTAGGTGCAGAAGGGAGCTTGGGGTAAGGGAGGGAATTTGGTTGAAGGAGGCAGTTGTGACCTGAGACACTGGACCAGGGGGTTGGATTGTGACCTAGGGCAGGAAATTGGGATACAGGAGGGGGTGCAGGGGTTTGGGTTGAGACCTAGGGCAGTAGTGAACTGTGATCTGGGGCAGAGGATTGGGGTGCTGGATCTGGGAGCCGGTGGGGGTGGGGGTGGGGCTCCGTGCTGGGCTCCGCGGCCCAATAAAGTCCTTCCGAGAACTTGCTCCTGGTACCTCTGGCGTGTCGGGACGTACCACTGCGCGCTCACCCCGGGGAGCCAGCAGGGGGAAGCTCCCCGAGGATGGGGCGCGGGGTGGGGCCTGCTTGAGAGAGGCGGGGCAGCCTGGGGATTGCTGCAGTGCACTGACCTGGGGGCTGCTCTGGGGGAGGGGCAGCAAGGGAAGTGACCCCCAACACACCCCACCCCTGCCCGGGGCCTGGAGGGGTTTCCTACCCTAGGCCACGTCATCCCATGGGCCTGCAGGGGTGCACCGCCAGGCAGTGCCCATAGCAGCACCCCAGGCACATCACCCTGTGCCTGGGCTGACACCAGCCCGGCCCCTGGAGTGACCACTAGCTCAGCGGTTCCTTGTCCGGTGCCAGGACCCAGCCCCGCTGACCCACCCCTGCCCGGGGCCTGGAGGGGTTTCCTACCCTAGGCCACGTCATCCCATGGGCCTGCAGGGGTGCACCGCCAGGCAGTGCCCATAGCAGCACCCCAGGCACATCACCCTGTGCCTGGGCTGACACCAGCCCGGCCCCTGGAGTGACCACTAGCTCAGCGGTTCCTTGTCCGGTGCCAGGACCCAGCCCCGCTGAGTGGCACAGAAGGCACCAGCGCAGGAGGGCGGGGGGCTGTTCCGGGCCAGCAAGCATGAGAAACCAGCCCCAGCCCTGCCCCTCCACTGAGCACACAACACAGGGCGCCCGCTTGGCACAGCTGGCTCCCACCCGCCAGGAACCAGAACCGCCGTGCGGGGGCTGTGACAGGAGCAGTCCCTGCCCCCAGGGTGCCCACCGGGACAGCCTGCAACAGGAGAGGCGCATCCCCGTCGGCGCTCTTGAACCCACAGGAATGAGCCACAAGCGCTGCTCCAAGCTTAGCGCTCTGGTCTGCATCCTGGCCCGAGGGGTAGCCCCTCCGCGGAAGGGGTGGGGAGTGTGAGGCAGCAGTGAAACGCCTGGAGCAGGGAGTGCCCACTGCAGCTCTGCCCACTCTTCCATCCTGCTGGCACCAGTGCCCACAGGGCAGTGCCCAGCGAGCATGCACAGAGGTTCCGGGCCAGCGCTCACCAACCCGGCCATCGCGATCGACTGGCAGATCCCAGAGCCTCTGCCAGTCGAGTGCGCTCCGCAGGCAGGCTGGCCGGGCGCTAGCACATCGCTGCAGCAGGACCATGCTGCCTCTGACACCAGCCCTGGCAAAGCAGTGTCCCTTGGCTGGGAATGGGCCAACAGGGCCAGGCTGCAGGCAGACCGTGGAAACCCCTTTCTCCCTCCAGGGGTGCACACAGAGAGGGCCTGAACTCAGCCACGTTTCCAGGAGCAGCATGGGGACAGCTTGCGCCTGAATCCTGCTGCACTGCCAACCGACCAGCAGCAGCCTGAGCCCCTGCCCCAACCTCCCTCCAGCACCCCAGTCCCTGGCCCAGTCCAATAAAAAGTAGGGAGGGAGGGGAGTAGCCAGGGCTTCAGGGAAGGGGCGGGGTAGATCTTGGGTTGCCGGGACAATGAACTTCAGCATACAAAGGCTGGAGATCGCTGCTCTACACTGTTCACTTTTCACAAGGGCACAGGCCCATGTGCACGATCGGGGGTATCAGCCAGCAGCAGTTCACACTTCTACCCCAGCAGCAGGGGGAAGGGTCCCATGTCACATGGCAGGGGAGAAAATTTTCTCCCCCTCCCTTTCAAAATTAAATCAACCTTTGCTCCAACTCTGGAGCCATTCCCTCCTGGGCTGGGCCCAATTTCAGCCCCAAGTCCTGAAGATGACCCAAGCAGGTGGAAGTGCTTAGACCAAACGATTGTTCCACCTTCACTCTGCCCCGGGCGGCAGAGCCGGCTCCCGTGTTGCCCCTGGGACGTGCTAAGTGGGGCTTCCCCCAATCTGCTCCATGTCCCGTTTCCGTACCACCCACGAGCATTAAGATAGAAAGATCTCCTTTATTAATGAACCCACAGCAGTATTTCTTCAGCTACAGAGTTTTGAACTCAGCTAGTCAGAAGAAAACAAGTTAATTTCGCAGGAGTCTCACACGAGATCCTGAAACTCATTACCAGTAACATATTGCAAAGCAAAACAGCCTGAAAAGGAAAAGAAAGAAAAAAGAAATGGATCCAAACGGAACGCAGGTTGGTTTGTGGTTTGGAACTAGTAAGTCCTTGCAAGCATAGCTCGATTCTGCAGATTACTCCCCCACTGCCGTACAAAACAGACCCCGATTGGTTGAATTCCTTAAGCGCCCGGAGAGGTGCCCCGGGACAAGCTACGATGATCAGGTAGCGAGTGCTCCAGCCTTCTGTCTTCACCGGCCGCCTCCGCCACGCCCCGGCCTTAGCGGGATGAGAACGTCTTCCCCCTGTCGGGAGCAGAAGGGCAGCGTTAGGGGGGTTCTTTGAGCAAGCGCTCCAGGGTCACGCCGAGCCCTGCGTTGGGCATACCGGCCCCTCGCAATGCAGGCCGGACCACGCCGCGTAGGAAGGGGGCTGGGGAGGCCACCACAGCGGTGAGGACATGGGGAGCGTGTCCGAGGGGTGCTCGGCAGGCTGCTCTGAGGTGCACGGGGCTGGGAGATCGCCAGCCCAGGGGAAAGGAGACCAGAGCAGAAAGAAGAGGCCCCGGCTCCGGCAGGCCTAGAAGCAGAGGACAAGGGGCAGAAGACAGCGAGCGAGCAGCCGGGGGGGGAGGGGGATGCCCCAAGGCGCAGGGCAACCAGGCGCAGTCTGGGTCGC